ATGACATGTCACAACTCCAAAGGCTGATTTTGGGTCAATTTGATGACCACGAGACTGACGAGAAAGCACGAAATGGTACTATCTCACAAAATATGTCTTCTTATTTCTCTATTCAAATTTATCAAAGGGAACCACTGTTATGTCTGTGTCTGACACTTAGTAAAGAATAAAATGTTCCTAATGCAACATGTGTTCAGGCACACTAACGTTAAGTCCATCGATGTTAACACACATGAAATATCGACTAGGTTGTTTTCACATGACGCTACAAATGTTTTATTCCATGACACTTCCCTATCATGAATGATTTACTAACATTGGGACTGTTTATCACAAACGACCAATCAATCGATCGTTGTATGTCAAGACAGTACTACTGTATGGAGCGGAAACTTGGAGAACTACGAAAGGCATCATCCAGAAGATACAAGTGTTTATTAACAGTTGTCTACGCAAAATACTTCGGATTCGTTGGCTAGACACAATCAGCAACAACGTACTGTGGGAGAGAACAAACCAGATTCCAGTGGAGGAGGAAATCAGGAAGAAGCGGTGGAAGTGGATAGGACACACATTGCAGAAAGCACCTAACTGCGTCACGAGACAAGCCCTCACATGGAACCCTCAAGGCAAAAGGAAAAGAGGAAGACCAAGGAACACATTACGCCGAGAAATAGAGAAAGATATGAGAGGAATGAACAAACATTGGACAGAACTGGAGAGGGAAGCCCAGGACAGTTTTGGTTGGCGAAAACTGGTGGGCGGCCTATGCTCGATTGGGGGTAACAGGCGTAAATAATTAGGTAATGATATGGTTTTTGTGGAATCAAAGACAGATGTACAAAAAATCGACATCTGTCAGCATTCGATGACTGCCTGGTTGAGTCCCAGAATTGGTCACATGATGTGGCCCAGTGTGGATATCAATAGTGACCTTGAACTTCTTATATAAACTGAAAAGTTTCCTTCTAATTGTATTGTGCATCCTAGCACACTGATTATCAGTAGTATTGTTAATTAACTTTTTATTTCGAAAGAAATAATTTTTATTCAATAATTTTAGTCTTATTCTATTCATCGTTCTTTGTATAACCTCATTTTTATTATGTAACGTCAATGTATCTATGTATATATATGAAAGCATGGTGATTTCCTTTGGGTACCAGTGTTTATCTATTTCAAACTCAAAGTTAGTAAAATAAATGAGGAGAATGAATAAGACAAAGTATTTTAATGAATTTAGGTTAACCGGAACTTGTTAAATACATTGAATAGTAAATAAAAATTTCATTCTTAGTAAAAGAAAATTGTACATTGAATTCTGCTCAAAAAATATTGTTAGATTCTTTAGTAATGCAAGGGTCAACTTTGTTTTAATCAGTGAATATTTTTTTCATATCAGTAGACATTTTCTCCAATGTTTTTTAGTCTTTAATACTTCGTGAAACATTGATCAATCATTCTGAAACAATCATGTGATCCAAAACAGTGGTTCCCTTTGATAAATTTGAATAGAGAAATAAGAAGACATATTTTGTGAGATAGTAAGTACCATTTCGTGCTTTCTCATCAGTCACATACAAGCAACATGTTATTTGTGTAAATACAGTTTTGAAGATAAAGTCAAAATTTCTTATTTAGCATGACATTCACTCACTAGAACCATGGTAAACAAAGGTCAACATACAGTTGTTTTTGAACACATCAAGTTGGACTTTTCCGACCAATCAATTAGCTTTGTGATGTAATCTTGGAGTTCTAATTAGACGTTTTGATCAATGGATAAAGTTTACGCGACAGCATAGATTGATTTAAGAAAGTAAACGTTCACACACATTAGTGAATGCTGACTCAGTGATACACTTATATGACGAGTAAAAAGTTAATATTTGGATTCTCACCAGCAAGGATCATGGACACACACTGCTGATGAGCACCCATATATATTGGGACAAAACAAGTATCCATTATGTTACTCTCGTCAATTGGTACGCTTGAAGCAATTACGAGTTAACCTTAGTCGATAAACGTGAACAAGACAATCACCACCGTCCAGATAGGCTACCTTGAATCCCAAGCTGTAAGCAGAAGGCTTTTTAAGCGTAGAAAGTATATTCTACAAACATCCAGCAATCACAATACAATCAAGCACACAACTCTCGTTTATTTATACATCATAGAAACGTCCTTGAGACAGTTAAGAAAATAGCACACTAAAATACACAGCGGCTAATCAAAGCCATGGATTTTCCTGGTGGGAAATGAAATCTCAAGGTCAACTGATCAACTCATGCTCGCAAACATGAAATCCAAAATAAGGCATTTACCAACCGAGTTTTGGGGATTTAACATCCACAACACATTAGTTTCAGGTTTTTTTTTCAATATGATAGATTAGATTACAGTAATGAAAGTTCAGTCAGTCGGTTAGTCAGTTGCAACGTAGAACTTGGTACGTACGTAAGTACATCAGTTCATGTTGTCATACCACATTAGCACACAGAGACGCAATTGTCAATTCAAATCCCATAGTGGTAGAGATAGTAGAAGTATTACTGCCAACGGACAAGATTAGAATGTGAAGATATTATTCAAGAAGTATAATTCAGTGACATAACTTTATAAAGACAAATGTAGAGGTGTTGACCAATCCAGAAGATTAGGATTTGAGAGAGCACAAAGAGTGGATGCGCTTGCGCCATTTCAAACGATTTCTAGTCATGTCATTCAAGGTCTCTAACAATCGATGACTTTCGTCACTCGGACCACAACCACGTAGCCTACATGTACCAACATGATTCAATCCACTTATCAATGAATTCATGGATTTGTGCCATGTTTTGGTTTGGCCACCGCCAGCTTTCTACGGTCGGGAATGATGAAAGTAGATCAAACAAAATTTAATTTCTTTCCAGTAAAAAAAACACAGTTATCAAATAAAAAAGTTACAAAAAAATTTCACGATTTTTTGACAAAGTCTTTTAACTTCGAGAGTCAATGTTCAATAATTATACCGGGTGAATTAATCTATTGAATTTTCAATCATTATTCAATAATGAGTGACATTGACAAATAAAGCACCCACCTACGTCACGAGACAAGCCCTCACATGGAACCCTCAAGGCAAAAGGAAAAGAGGAAGACCAAGGAACACATTACGCCGAGAAATAGAGAAAGATATGAGAGGAATGAACAAACATTGGACAGAACTGGAGAGGGAAGCTCAGAACGGAGTTGGTAGGAGAAAACTGGTGTGCGGCCTTTACTCCATTGGGAGTAACAGGCGAAAGTAAGTAAGTAAGTAAGACAGTGACAAATATTAAAAACCTTTTTTCACAATTTTCTATCATATATGATTTTTGTGAGTGTAGCTAAAATTTTTGATGTGTCCAACTGATGGGTCATTGACAAACTAGGACGAAACTGTCATCCTGTCATGCAAACAATATATATATCAGTCAGTCAGTTAGTTACAACGTGGAACTTCGTATATGAGTACATAACTTCAGGTTGCCATACCCCATCAGCACAGCGATGCAAGTGCCAGTTTAAATCTCATTGGGTTTACAACCCTATCTCGTAACAAAATCTAACTTGTTGGAAAAACGCTAACCAGGACAAACTTTACTCTGAGCGTTGAAAAATCTACATTCAGGAGAGCTATGATACCTCATAGGGAATCCCTCGTTTCTTCAATAAGTCACGTGATAGATGCTGATAGTGAAAACTTAAAAAGTTCTCCTGTGTATCAGTTTCAAATGACTAATTGTTACAGAGATTACTTTTAAAATTCAGTAAAGATTAGTATTGATTTCCTAAGCATTTCAGAAATGACAGCTCATTAAAATTAATTGTGTTTGATAGTATGTGTATAATTCGTTTGTACAAGCCACTGATCATCTAGACTCACTGCACACATAAGCAGATAACACGATGGCGTTTGTGGCAAAATGTGTGGCGTTCGAGTCACACAATGAACAAAAACTCTGAGATATGCTAGATAAATCTACATGACGAGTCTTAAATCAGTCAGTCAGTCGGTCAGGTACAACGTAGAAATTCGTACGTTGTATGTACATAATAAGTTCAGGCTACCAAACCATGTTGGAACAGAGAGGCAATTATCAGTTCAAATCTCATAGTGGTAGAGATAGTAGAAGTATTACTGGTAATGAAGAAGATTAGGATTTGAAGATATAATTCAAGAAGTATAATTCAGTGAAGAAAGAGAAAGATAGAAGTTACACATTTTTGAAACCATGAATCGATCAATGTTAGACCACCGTTAGAAACCCTGAAACACTGGACGGCCGTTTCGTCCTGGTATAGGACTCCACAGCAGTGCTCGTCCACGACTTCTGCACCCCGCAGGATTCGGTATTGTAGGCGAACGCCTCACCATCGGACCACTCCAGCCGGTATCTAACGGTGTTAATGTCTAACTTGATCAATTCACGGAGTTGCGCAACCTTATACACAGTCTTCGATAGTTACTGTCTACACCAGAACAGGTTGAACTTCATTGGTCACGTCTTCCCACTATAGAACTCGGAGAAGATTCCTCACGAAGCTAGTCACTAGTGAGCACAGGTAATTCGTATTACAGGGTTGTGAAGATTGTTAAGTTAGACATACCAGGACGAAACGGCCGTCTTTCAGTGCTTCCAGGTTTCTAATGGTTGTCTAACATTGATCGTCGATTCATGGTTTCAAAAATGTGTACCTTAACAATCTTCACAACCCCGTAATGCAAAGATAAAAGTGTTGAGGAATTCAAAAGGTTTTTGAATTTGAGAGAACACAACGAGTCGATGTACATACACAATTACAGACGATTTTGAACCATGTCATTCAAAATCTCCTTTAACCATTGGTTACTACCATCTCGTTGCCTTCAACCAGGTAGTCTACACTTACGCGAACCCTAACCGCCAGACAAAAGTCATATATCATATACATATTTATACATAAATCATCAAAACTTAACATATATCAATTACCTTTTGTTAAAATATGTGTAGCTAATTTAACTTGTGAAAAATTACCAATTCCAATTGTATTCAATATACAATAAAGACTAAGTCCATTTGAATTGGTATTAAGAAATTTGTTCTGTTCAACGAATTGATTTGTTTGTTTATTAGTTAACGAATTAGTATTTAATTTCTCTAATGATGATGATGATGATGATTTTAAACAATGTTTAGTAGAATTGATAATACTGATATTTGAACCACTCAATGTGTTTTTATCGTCAATAGTTGTTACATTTTCAATGGATTTCGACAAACAATCCAATGATGTCGGTGTTGTTGCTGTTGTTGTTTTCAATGACAACGATGACACTGTGCTGGTTGATACTCCTCTACTTGATACAATTGTACTACTTTGATTTATATTTGGAACGGATAAATGACGAGGATTGAATAACAACGAGGACGTTCTATCAGACAGAACATGATTATTATTATTATTATTAGATAAAGCCATCATCTGTTTTGTCGGTTGTGTGTTTTTATTGATCGATTGAATACTACTATCTACAGTCAAAGAGTTTTGTTGAACTGTATTTCTCTTTAGCCTATTATCTTTTATATCATGTTGATTGCGTAATCCAGTGTGATGAAATGAATTGTGTTTTCGTTTATCTAACATCATCATTGATACTAGAGAATTTAAGGCAGGTTGTTTATTCATTGCTTTCGATATGATTGGTTTTAATAAATTTCTACAATGAACATTATTCATTGATAATTGAATGATTGGTCTATAATATGCTGATGCTGATTGATCAACATAAGTTTTTAGAGAATTTTCAGCAAATTGTGTAAATTGTTGACCTAATTGATCCAGTGCATCATTTCGATTGGTTCGTGAATTTGACCATGGAATAATTGAATGTTGATCAACAGTTTGATGAAGTGATACAGTGTACCAATTATTGTTATTTTTTTTATTTCGATCATTATAATAATAATCATCATGATTAGTTTTCATGTTATCATGTTATTGAAAATTGACAATGAAGCACTACTGAACAATGATTATCACAAAATAGTCGAATTGTATTCACATTGACACATTGAATAATAGGTGAATATAGATAAACAAAAGACTGGGCGTGAATTTCAAAAAAAAACAAACTAACTAAAAAAGCTGAAACGCTATTCGGTTTTTATGGTACTTTTATGCGCGCACACACACACATAGAGGTAATCTAAAGGAAATGGAATATTTTTTTTATAGTTATATACAATTATCATGTGATCCACAAAATTTTGTTCCACCCAAGAGTTTGATTATATACCCCGTGGAATAATGCTTCATAATTTCACAATGAACTGTTTGTAAATATTAATTTTGATTGGACCAATTGTGATAACCAATCAAATTTGAGTATTTTAAAGATAAACAAATCGAAAAATAAAATCAACCGAAACTGAATATTAAAAATTTAAAATTCAATAAGTATTATTTATTGAACTGTAGAAAATCGAGTTGATGGGATTTTGTAGTTAAGGTATTAGCGAAATAGACAGACTTACTTTGTTTGACTTTCAGCTCATATTTCCTACTTGGAAATTCCTTGAATATCATTGGTTGATGTGTTATTTTCGGTTAGTTATTTTTGTAGCTCTCTCAAAGACGTTTCTATGATGTATCAATGAACTTGATTTGTGTGCTTGAAAAACCTCATATTTTCTGAGTGTTTGTAGAATACACTTTCAACGCCATATCAAGACTTCTTCCTCTATTCAGTGGGGCTTTTGGGCTGCTCGGTGTAGAGTAGTAGCCAATTGTGTCATCGTGGATCATTTCTCATCACTCTCAATTACCGACCAAAGGTGAATTCGTAACAGTTTAAAGCGTATCAATCGATCAGCATAGCATCTACGTTCGAATCGCACCGGGTGGGGGAAGGAATTGTAGGTTTGTATTGTTGGTCAGTTGTATACTAGGAAGAAACACTCATGTGATATTGACAGGTTTCTAATAGTTCAACAATAGTCAGTTAGTCAGTCAGATGCAACGTGGAACTTTGTACGTAAGTACATCAGTTCATGTTGCCATACCACATCAGCACAGAGATATAATTGTCAATTCAAATCCAATAGTAGAAGAGGTAGTAAAGGTATTGGAAGTAATCGAAGAGGTTAGGATTAGAAGATATGATTCAAAAAGTATGATTGTCAGTGACTTCATGGATTTCTGTCATGTTTTGGTTTGGCCGCCCCTAACTTTCTTCCAACCTATTCCTACACTACAAAACAAAGCTCGACGAGGCAGTCGGTGGTTAGGCATACGATACACATGTCCCAAAAGAAACTATTCAATTACGTAAGTATTCACTTGTATGTATAAGAAGTATTTTAGTTAAATGAAATAAAATTCATTATGAATATTTCGTTAATAGCTTCTACAATGTACAAATTATTGAAATCCAATCATATTTACACAGACAAACAAAGCAGTTTATCAATCAGCATAAAAAAATTTTCCATTTTCCTAAAGAAATTCATCAGAACTGTATCAAATATTGCCAACATTTTCCATTACACACAATTCATACGGAAATGAATATCAACAGAATTTGTTTGAATAGCACAAGGTATCAAGAATCGGAAGAAAATCCGTTTATCAAGGTTTGGTGTAAAATATCACATTCTATTGATTTTATTTAGCATTCCCAATGATGATATGAGTTAAGTATTTGCAGGTCATCGGTTATGACATTCGCAGACTTCCTAATTAGTGTTGGCTCATCAACAGATGAAGAGATTAGTATGGTCATTAGACAAATCAAAAGCGGCAAAGCAGCAGTGAAAAGTAAAATATCTCATCAAAATACCAAAAGAAGGTGATCACAGGATATGTGAAAACTACAAAGGCATCACTCCTGTCTTCGTAGACGCCCAACTTCGAGATCAACAGGTTTGATTTCATAAGGATCGATCGTGTACCGACTAAATTTTGACATCACGCATCCTTGTGGAAAAATCAATTGAATGAAGCTCACCGCTCGACATCAAATTCATAGACTAGAAGTAAGCACTTGATAGTGTTGACAGGAAAACACTATGGAGGCTTCTCCGACACTACGACGTGTCTGAGAAGATATTCAATATCATACGGAATTCTTATGATGGATTAATCATGCATGGAGGATAGCTGACAGATGCGTTTGAGATGAAGACCAGTGTCAGGCACGGTTACCTACTCTCACCCTTTCTCGTTCTCCTGGTGATCGACTGGATAATGAAGACGTCAGTATCTGGAAGGTAGCACGGCATAAATTGGACAGCGATGATGCAGCTGGACGATATGTCTCTTCTATCGCACACATTTCAACAAGTGACAGAGTAGACGACCAGTGTAGCAGCATCCTCAGCAGAAGCAGCTCTCAACATACATAAATGGAAAAGCAAGATTCTGCGATACAACACAGCATGCACCAACCAAATCATTCTTGATGGAGATGCTTCGGATGATGAAAAAGCTTTACATATCTGGGCATAATCATTGACGAGCCAGGTGGATTTGATGCAGCCATGAAGGTGCGTATCTGCAAAACAAGGAATGCATTTCTACAACTAAACAATATCTGTACCTCAAAACAATTATTAGCAAACACCAAAGTCAGAATCCTCAATACAGATGTCAAGGCAGTTCTACTTTATGTGTCGGAAACTTGGAAAACTGCCAAAGTAATCGTTCAGAAGATACAAATGTTGATTAATATTTGTCTACGCAAAATACGTCAGATCCGTTGGCCAGACACTATCAGCAACAACCTATTGTGAGGTAGAGAGAACCAGATTCCAGAGGGGAAGGAAATCAGGAAGAAGCGGTGGAAGTGGATAGGACACACACTACGAAAAGCACCTAACTGCGTCACGAGACAAGCCCCCACTCAAAATCTTCAAGGTCAAAGGTGGAGAGGAAAGGTGAGGAGCACATTACGCCTAGAATTCGGGACAGACTTGAAAAGAATGAATAAAAGTTGAACAAAACTAAAAAGGGAGGCGCAGGCCAGAGTAGATTGGAGAACAATGTACGGTGGCCTGTGCTCTATCGGGGATAACAGGCGTAAGTAAGTAAGTAGGCAATTGTTTACTGCGTTGTGCAGTAGGTCGGACCATTCAGTGGACGTCTACGTAACAAAAAGTATCCGAATAATGCAGACTGCCGGTTTGCTGATCCGATTTACCTCAAAGTATATGATCGATGAGTAAGGATTATTGGGTTGGGATTTAACGGCGCTGTCTCTGTTTCCCTCTCCGAATCCTACAATAAAGTTCATTTACTGTTCACACCCAAATGTTTGATTTACTGATGAACAATGAGCAGTTGAATGTGCTGATTGACATAGGATTTCTAGTGCACACAAACTTGGCATCTTTTGCTCACATATACATACTACTTACTACCTGATACTCAGTAGTCGGAATTACATTCATCAAAGATCACCATATCTGAGATGACGCGTGGCATTCGAGTTACGTGTTTATAATTTTCCGTATATGAAAGAAATTAGTCGCCCAAATGGTGATGTCATCAAAAACAAGATTGACAACATTCCGATAAGCATGTAAGCAAATTAATGGTAGAAATTTTCACCGAGAATCTCTCCACGTATGATTGAAAATAACTTGTTGTTTAGAAGCTGTATTTGACTAGATGTGAATAACATCCATCTTATCATTGAATGAACGTGCGCTAATATCAGTTGTCTTACATTAGGAAAACAGACGGGTTCATTCTCTCCAAACCTTAAACTAATGATGATAGCTGCCGTTCAAATGAGTGACATCAACATGTTCACAGACGCGCGAAGCGGCACCATATCCTCTGCAATACAGTCACCAATCGAAATACAGACATTCATGATATTGATAACCGGCGATTTACATGTGATCAGTGGAACATGAATTCATCATCAATCAGCTTTCTAGTGATATTGACAATGACATTCAATAATTCTCTCATTCACTCACTCTCACAATCTTCATCACTGATAGCTCCAGTCATCCATCTAAGCAATGACTTCAATCACTGATTCAGTTAAGTCATATTCGCAGCGAACGATTTCGCATATCATCCTGCATTACTCAATTACTAACTGCAAGTACTTTCTAATGATCTATGAAATATTTGGAGGATTATATCAAACTACATCTCATATCCGTTTTCGCTGGGACGACCTAATCAATCAGAGTTTAATGATTGAAAATAGATTGTCCGATGTGCAGGGTGATCAGTATCATTTTCAGTAGAACTACACTTTGGTTGATTCATGTTTACTGAGCCATGCGATTGCATAGAATATAATATCGAATTCATTGATCTGCGTTATACCTCCATTCTACCTTGAATATTTGTTCAAGTCGACATTCACTCCAATTGTACACTCTTCGCACATCACAATAATGAGCAAACACTGAACACGTTATTCAGTCACGCTAATTCTGTTCTCCCTCAAATCACTCTCACCTTGTAGGCAACAACGATAACCAGTCAATCAAACAAGATTGTCTACGGTTTTCTTGGAAAGATTGCAATTATCTACGTGCGGTTATTGGACCGATTGTGGACTTACAGCTTGCATCTGCTCAGTATATATAATCACTTAAACTTACAAGCTCATAGTGTACAATACAGATGTAAGCATTTTGTCATATTTTTACCATCACTACTCTTCATATACGTGCACGATCTGCACATCACACATTCGGCTGCTATATTCATCACCTACACTTCAATCAAACATCAATTCGTATTCAGTGGTTTGAATGACTGTACATCAATCTGCAATGGAGTAGTAACTAACAATCACATTCTCGTTATTTTGATTTCACCGGCAGGTGAAATTTTAAAGTACATTCTTTTACAACCGAATGACATTCATAACTAATTAACAAATACACAAACATATCTACTCACAAATCAATAACGCATTTCAATCGGTGAAATACACATTCTGATTCATAATGGACAAG